GTGCTGGCATGAGGTAGGTGTCTGTCCCACTCTGTCCCAGTGCTGCTCGTCTTCCAGCTCCACTAAGCAACACTAGGAATGGGGATCTCTCTGCTTTCCCACCCAGTCAGGGGCTGGCAAGGAGCTGTCCTGTTTCTGGAGCAGCTCCCAGTTAGCCCCTGGCTATGCGGGAAAATCCCTGAGCAACCCAAGGCTGGCTGGGAACTGTCCCACTCCCAGGGGATTTCCCTGCCCAGCCAGCTCCTGGCCAGCCCCTGATTGCACGGGGAAGCCCTGCTGGGCACAGGGCTTGTCCCCATGCCCATGTGTATGTGGTTGGCGAGCTCTGCAGCAGTAGCTGTCCCCCAGCCCTGTGCACATCAGGACCCCTCCTGATGTGCACAGGGCCAGGAGACAGCTGCTGCTGCAGCCAGCAGAGGTCTCCTGACCCCGTGTGTATAGGACCAACCCCTGTACTCTCTGCCAGTCCCCTGGTTAGCACCCCAGGGAACCCTGGAGCTCCCCTTGGCTTCTGTAGGGGGCCAGAGCAGGGTAGGAGCAGCCCTGTACCAGGCTGGTCCTATTGGGAGCAGATTTGCTCCAAAACTGGGAGTGCCTGTACACATGCTCCCAGAGGAGGCTTACTGTGCAGTATTTCACTGCACAGGAAACCTTTATAGCATTAATAGCATGTGTAGATGTGCCCAATGAGCATTGCCTGCATAAGGGGTGGCTAACTAATGGCATGCATGACGCACACGGCCCATGCAGCTGCTGTGAGTGACACTCAAGGCTGGACTGGTAGGAGTGTTAGCTTCAAAGGGGCAGCTGTGCCCACTCCCACACTAGGCTGCAGCAAAAAATGGTAGACTCCAGTGGCACCAAGTTCACCATGGAGTGGCCAAGTTTATTACAAGCAGGAAAGGAGTGGAGTTGGAGGCAGGGCTGGGCCTGGGAAGAACCTAAGGCCAGAAGGGTGCACTGTGACATTCTGGGCCCAAGCTGTCCCAGCTGGGAGGCCCACGGGGGCAGTAGGGTGCATCACACTCGCTGCACCCCACTCATCTAGTCAATTTCTCCGTGGAGAAATCAGTACTACCAGACTCTGCCATCTTCTCTGCAAGCAGGGCAGGAGCTGGCACTGCTACTCCATTAAAGGTTCAAGTGGCACAGGCATAGCAAGCTCCTACAGCACCCTGGGCAGAGGACCATGCTCACTACTGTAGAATGTCCTATCTGCCCCAGCTCTCTGCACTCTGGTGGTGCATACTCCAGCTGAGGAGCAAGCTCACTGCACAGCAGCTGTGGCAGGGGGCAGCAGAATATCCCCCACCTCCCCTAGGAGTCTTTGCTATGGCAGGCCCAGCCCAGCCATGGAAGATGGTAACCCTGTGCCACAGTAGTGTCTGGGCGGTGACGGCTTGAGTAGAACAGCATTACCCCTGGGGATTTTTTTTTATCATCACAGGAGGCCCAGCTCTGTGTCCATGTCCAGTAGTATATGGAGGGGAAAGTAAACAAAGCACTGGAGCAGCCACTGAGAGGTCCACCCCACAGATATGTGCAACCAGCTCCAGCGCTGATAGTAGCACTGATGGGGGTGGGAGGAAGTACACTTGCCAAAAAGATTGGCCATCACTGGCCTACACTGTGCTTAGGTAAGTGAATACTCTGGCTAAATACATAGCCTTTCTTTTCAGACTGGAGGCTATGGATTGAAAAGGAGTACACTGTAGTTTCCTTTTATATCTGATCAAGCAGAATGCATAAACTCCCAAGTCTGTCCCAAACATCCCAGTCTAGGAAGACTTTTGGCAATGGAAGAAAATTTAATAGCTTCAAGTTCTACCTCATAATTGGCATAAGCTGCAGTCTGTGATAATTGCATATCTATAATTGTATCTATGTTCTGATGTGCCTAGAGATCTTGGGCCAAAGAGGAACAGTCAGAACTGAACAGTTGTAAAAATTCTCTGCTTTTAGGGACAATACATCAGAGAAAGACTGGGCTTAAAGTTAAATGGAATTTTCGTTCATTATTTTACAAGAAATTTGGAGCAAGGTAAACTGTATGGCTCCTTTCTGAATCACGCACTTGGCATTGATTCTAAAATACCTGCCAACTCCATTTGTCATATATTAGCTCTGCTAGTTACAGGGCTGAGCTGGAATAATGAAGGAATGGAAATAGCATTCTCGTGTAGAAATCTGCTTTTACAAATTTATGCAATCTGTGTGATTCCCCTTGTGCTGCCTTGCAGTGTTTTGGGGCCTTATTGAATGCAAATATTTAGACTCCTGGAGCATTCTTAAACAGCAGGTTGGGAACAGGCAACTTGCTTTCAGATTAGTTATAATAGATTAATTTGAATTTAATATATGTTAGAAATTATTTTTAGAAATATACATTATTTTTTTATTAAACGTACAAAACGATTTTGACCACCGGCATTACTGCTGCCATACTGTACCTGTGATCCAAAGCATTCTTGGAGTCAGCTTAGCTGTAGGCTTGAAAATTTCCTGCAGGTAGGAAATCCTAGGGTGACAGAACCATACTGATGATACCTTCCTTTCCCCTTGCACCATCAACTGCCAGTGCAAGAGCAATTCTAGATGAAAGAGTATGCAGCTGAGGAATTCTCAGCTGTTGTAACATATGCCAAGAATCATTCCGGCCAGGAGAACCCCCAGCACCGTACAGACATAAAGGGCGTCTTTGTGCTCTCATTTCAGCTGTATCAAGTGCTGATCAGTCCCAGCTGAGGATCTGTCCCCCTGAAGAATACATGCTGGTAGTAGTAATGTACAAATGCTGCTAATTCATGTTGCTCAATGGCTACCTAGAACTTCTGCTAAATCTAAACATCTTTTTTTTAGTACCTGCGTAAGGTTGCTTGGAAACCAGCCCTCTGAGCCCCCGCATTCTTCATGACAGCTCTTTTATGAAATAACATCCTTGCGTAGCACGCTAATATGTAGACGTATATTCCTATCTCACTTGAGAGTCTCATTGTAAATGTTGTTGGTGCTTGAGACCATTCATGAATAGTATGTGTCATTTGATAAGTCAATGGAGTATTATGTCACTGTCATAATCAAAATGAGTTTAATCACTGAATGCAAGCAGTTTTTCACTCTTGTATTCTAGTAATTTAGCTAATTTTTCTTGATATATTATTATGGATAACTTCTAATTCAGGTTTTTGGTTCAATACTTGTATTTACTGAGTAAGCTGTAACCCTGATGACTGTAACCTTGGTCCTAATCACTTTCTTTGCTTTTTATGTATTTTTCTCTCTTGTGTCATGCCTGAACTTAGTTTGTAAAGTGCTTCTGGGGAGGATTGTTTTTTCCTGCTACTGCAAAATGTCTATCATGCATCTGGTGAAAGAAATTGCATTCATAATGAGTAAAATACAATCAGTGGGTTTTTTTGTTTTGTTTTTGGTGTTTTTTAATTTTATCTTGATCAGTTTTCCTGGGGCGGGGGGTGTTGGGGTGGGGTGGGGGTGGTTATTAAAAAACCACCCAAAAAACATGAAAAAATTGAATATTCTTTCATTCTTCATTAAAAATATATCACTTACATAGTAAGCATAAATAGCTTACTTTAAAATTACCAGTTACTTAAATTCGGATATACTTGTTCCCATTACCATTGGTAGGTATTTGTGAGATGCATAAAAAGACTCTTTTTAAACAATTTGTTTTATTTTGCGCATATTGTAGACCAACATGGACAGTTCTCTATAGGTTCATAATTTGTCAGGAGTATGTATATCTGCTATATAAAATACAAAATATAAACATATCCTCTGCTTTCCAGAGCATAGAAGACCCTTCTCCTGCCCTAAAGATTAAAGGTTAACCCAGCCAAGGTAATGACAAAGGAAACTTCAGAGACCTCATTGATGAAGATGTTAATTCAAGAGGGACTGATGAAAGAACAGGTTTTAAACTTAGAGGGCACAGACAGAAGTGCAGCTCTTTGGTGCAACTCACAACACATTGCAGGAAGTGTTCTGAGTTACAAAGATCCCCTGGACCTAACAGAAGTTCACTGTTGATTCAAGGGGGGAGGGGAATCAGCTGCTGGCTGCCAGCTTGCATCCAGTTTCCCCTAGCAATGGCCTCTCCTCTCTCCCAGCCTGTCCCTATTTCAGAATGGGATGGGGGAAAGGGAGCAGAGGGAGCTCGTTCTAGTGGTTTCCCAGCTGGCACTGGAGGGTGGGCTGGGTGAATTGGAGCCTGCCCCCCCCCCCCCCCCCCCCCCACACACACACTTGGAGGGAGGCTTCAATACATCTGTCATACCCTCCAGCAGGGAACTAAAAAAACTCCAGACATGAACTCCCTCTGCTCCCTTTCCCCGCTCCCATTCAAAAAACAGCAACAGGCTGGGAGGCAGCACAGATACAAGTTACAAATGATGCTATTTTTTTGAAACGCCTCCATTTGAACCCTCATGCAATGAAAGTTCAGATTTTAGCTGGATCAGCCATTTTTTAAGTAGTTTGCAGCTGTGCATTTGTGTTTGGTCATAGCTATAGACCACTTTCTGTGGCCAGATTGGGCAAAAATTGTCACTTCTATCTGCACCTTTAAGAAACGAGTAGGAGGGAGAGGCAGGCTGGTTGGTAGACAACAAGCAAGAGCCTTTCAAGTTTAGAGCATAAACACAGGCACAACACTGAGAGTTTGAAGAGCTGAAAAGAACAGTTGATGAACTGGGGGGCAAAAGATGAATAAGACTAGAAGGGGGAGAATATATAAGGCTGTGAAAGTAAAGAGGCATTTGCAGCAGACATGGTTAAAGGATACCAGTGGATCAGTACTTTGAAAGGACAAATATTGTTAAAAGGTGCAAAAGTATGCCCTTAAGTATGTTAGACATTAAATCCATGTTTCTCAGGGAAAATAGTAGTTACTAAACATGTATGATCTAGAAAGTAGTGTCTAGAAAGGGGGGGGGGGTGTATATGAGAGACAGACCCACACAGAGACTATAAGCAGTTACCTGATCTTCAAAGTCAAATTCAGTATCAAGCATATCTCCAGAATCCATAATCAGACTGCGATCGAGTTCATTTGACCCTAAAATAGGAAAGAAAACAACTTCAGATATGAACTGGAAGGTTTCACTTTGCATAGTGGAAAAGTGATCTCAATCCAGCTCCTTCAGTGGTGTGTATGTGTATGTGAACACAGCAAATACACACATAAAAAAATACTACCCAGGAAATTATTTGTATGTGAAAGAATTCTAATAAACATGTTGTTTCTATAGGAAAGTCTATTAAAGCCTGCAACAAATGCTACTAATAAGCAGTTATTAGAAGTGGCCTATCATTGGCAGGTTATTTTTTGTGTGTTCTGCAAAGTGATGCCATGCAGTGCACCATAAAAATATAATTGGAATTTTTATTTACTGTTAACATAGTGAAGAACGATAGCCTGATTTTTTGGGGGAAAGAGAAAGGTCTCTCTGACTGATGGGGAAAGACATGATTTATTTTGTGTAGACATCAGTAAACCAGAATGGAAGAAATTTATGCTCACTTCGCTTTGATATAAATGACTGCAGAAGGTAGATTCCTCAGCACTGCCACAGGTATTGGGTGTGCTCACTGCCAAACTGGGATCAGCCACCAACCCTCTAATCCAGCTGTCCATATGTACAGGGACGTAAAGACATGGTCTTCCCTCTCAAGCCCAGAAACACTCACTTTTTCTATTAACAACCCCAGGACTAGGAGCATGTTATATGCTAGTCCCTTGTGTGCTGAGGAAAGGAAAGACTTCCCATGCCTTTTATAATTTAGCCCTATTTATAGCTCAGCAGAGGGTATCACTATTTGGTACATGTGAAAGTTTCAGTGCTTATTATATGCCTAATTACAAGATTCTTGAGTTTCTGATAACATAGAAATGTCCACATCTTCTAGTTTAATGCCATTTGTATTTTCAAAGAACTGATCAAAAATAAGATGTGGTATATTTGTTAGGGATATGCTTGTTTAACTCCTCAACCTGTGACTTTTCCAGTTGTGCATAGAGTTTGAAAGGAGCTGATAGAACAGGTTCAAACAATGAAGAAATCAAAAGTCCGCACCCACTCCCAGAACACAGTGCTGAGGTTCATTCTATGCTGCACCGGTAAACTCTACCAACTACCTGGCTACAATTCATGTGTGAGTCTAAATGTCATCTACTTAAAAGGGTGCAGTGGAGATCACTAGAATAGGTAAAAATGTAATTTTTATTGTGTTACGCTGTCATCAGTTGAGCAAGAAGTGGACAAGGAAGAGGAAATTATGTTCTTGTCTGCATGTTTACACATAGGTTAGGTACAGATATTCAAAAAGCCCAAAGCAGAATCAATCTAAGTTACGTGTTTTTTTGTAAGTGCAATAGTTTAGTTAGATAGTGAACAGAAAACACATTTTCCCTTTGGGGTGTGGGGCAAATCTTAGACTGAGTTCTGTCATTTTTAAACCAGTCTATGCGCCGAACTTCTGTTCTGTTTTGGACATAGACCAGTTTCTGATAACTTATACTGGTAAAAAAGTGCAATGTCTATACTTGGCAATACAATGCAAGACTGTTGGGAGCACAGGCACTACTAATGACAGACTTCAGCATACTACTGATCTTGGTGGAATGGTTTTCTCACTGTTGAAGCTGCTATCTGGATAGCCATCTTTTTGTGCATAGTCCACAATAAGCCTTACAGTTTCATTCATGCCAGATGCCCTGAAGCATCAGCTGTTTTTGTTTATTACTATGTAAATGTTAAAAATAATCTGTGTAAAGGGTGAGGTAGACACTGAAGACAGAACATAAGCAGGGATTCAAGAAGCACATCTGGCATGTGTGAGAACCTGCACAGGGGTTTCCCC